GCACCGGCCCTCGGTCTGGGTTAGTGCCTCCAAGCGGTCCCTGAACTCCAGCACATATGGTACAATGGGTATCCCATCTGCGCTACTTTCTCCCTCCCAATGCTCCCTAATTAAATCTAAAGGCCCTCGCACCCTTCTCCCAAACAGTAGTTCAAAGGGGGAAAACCCAGTAGACTCTTCGGGTACCTCTCTGTAGGCGAATAGCAGATGGGGTAGAAATCGCTCCCAGTCCTTATGAGCCTCTCCAAAGTCCCATTAAACCTTTCACATAGCCTATTAAACTGAGGGTGGTACTCGGAATTTAGATAGGCTTAATGCCACATATTTTCCATAGCTGGTGGGTTACTTCGGCCTTGAATTGCGTACCCCTATCCGATATGATCTCCTGGGGGAACCCTACCCGGGAGAAAACTTTCATTAATGCTTCGGCCACTGTCTCGGCGTGGATATTGGAGAGGGCTACTGCTTCGGGGTACCAGGTGGCGTAGTCTACTACGGTCAAGATATATCTCTTGCCGGAGGGACTGGGTTTTGGTAAGGGTCCTACTATGTCCACGGCCACTCTACTAAACGGTTCTTCTATGATGGGCGGTCACCCCTCTTGCCTACTCGTGGACAGATGTTGCATGTCTGGCAGTACTGCCACACATCTTTGGATATACCTGGCCAGAAGAAGGCGTGGGTTAGGCGGTATCGGGTTCTAGTCATACGCAGATGCCCAGACAAGGGGATGTCGTGCGCGATCCTAAGGAGTTCCTGACGATATTTCTGGGGTACTACTAGCTGTCTAGTAGTCACCTTTACAGATCCCCCCACTACCCTTTCAGCAATATGGTACAATTACCCCTTTTCCCAGGCATACCGCTCCCCCTCTAATCCAGCCTGGTCTGAGGTCACCGTATCCCTGTATACTTTTAACGTAGGGTCTATCTTAACCTCTGCCTCAAATTCAGTCAGGGTATCCCAGGTAACACGTGTCGTAAGGGTGTCATTGTCTCTTACCTGAACCTCAGAGTGCGTGGCTGGAGCTGTGGTGCAAGCCTGTTGCCTTGTGGTTACTGGGTGGGCCTCTTGGAGTGGAGCTTGAGGTATAAAAGCGGAAGTCATTCGGCCCAGGTCGTTCCCCAATACAACATCTGCCGGAAGCTTTTGCATCAGGCCCACCTCTACCATCCCTTCCCCCACACCCCAATTCAAATGTACTTTTGCGGTTGGTAATCTGTATACCGCTCCCCCTGCTACTCGCATGGCTATGGATCTGCCGGTGTGTGCCGAGCCCGGAACCAAATGAGGTGCTACCAGAGTCAGAGTGGCCCCCGAATCCCGGAGCCCTTGGATTTCTTTCCCTTCCAAGGTTACAGACATCACATTGTGTAGTATTCCTAGGGGCTCTTCCGTATGATTAAATAATATCTCCTGAGTTGCTGGCTCTGCTTGGTAGTGGTGGGCGGCTGCACTTGGTGCATGGGCTCCATGCTTGACGGCTCCGGTTCTGGGTACACTCTTTTGCCATGTGGCCCCACTGCTTGCATGCATGGCACTGGATAATTAGCTCTGCCATTATATTGGGATGGTGGAGTGTGTCCTCCCAGGGTTGGCCGGAATGGGGTTGCTGTGGGTGCAGTAGCAGTAGCTGTAGGAGGTTGAGTGGCGGGTCGAGGATACCCTCTGTTGAGGTTACCGTGATGCCTCCTGGCGTCATAGTGCTGGTCTGCTAGTCTTGCAGCTAAAAGTACCGAATACACATTAGGGAATAAACTACTGAAGAACCGGTGCTCCCGAACGGCCTGGAAGTCCAGCGGTGTTCGCGCCGTTGAGTAGCCAATTTTAGTTCCAGGTGCTCGACGACCAAACACTACTGGGCTAACAAAGGATCCAAGATGGCCGACCGCCGTGTGGTCGGTAGCCGAACGACGGCCACCCAGGAAAGCACTTAACCACCATTCGGTACATTATTCGTTTCACGAACAGTGTGTAAAGTCACTGTTCGTGAAACTACCATATGAATGCTAGCGACTTTCGGCCGTTAGCATACGAATACTCTCTATTGCAAAAATACACTAATACATTCATACACTCAATAAAAGCAGCTTTTACAGACAACCTTCAGATGTTACACAGTAGGACCTAAAGTGGCTAGGTTTGCCACATACCCCACCTTCTCTAGACTGTAAGCTCGTCTGAGGAGGATCCTCATCTACCTATTGTTCCTGTTGCATTTTGTTATTGTCTAATTTGGTAAATTCCTCTTTTATTGTAAGCTGGCTCTATATAAATACCAATAATAATAATAATAAGAAGAAGTAATTTTTCTAACACACGTTTATTGATGAAATAAAAAATACTGTTTAGTATCTTGGTTCTTTTTCTCTTTTTTTGTTCAGTGATATTTAAGAGTGTAAACCCCTGAGATGCTTAAACAATCCATCTAAACTTAAGGATTCCTTTCATGTTTTCCAAACTAGGTAACAGTATCCAATGCCGGTCTGCCATTGCAAAGCTAGGAAGGTGCTTGATGTACGCAATAGAATTGGACGGTGGAGCAATGGAAGAAGGTTGCCTGTTCTGGTGAATCATGTTTTCTTTTAGATCATGTGGATGGGCCGGGTGATTGTGCGCCATTTATCTGGGTAAGAGATGGCAGCAAGATGCACTATGGGAAGAAGGCAGGCCGGCGGAGCCAATTGTAGCATAGCTGCAATATTAAAATCAATATCTCCGCTGGTACACTGTAGAACATCAAAGAGAAGTGCAGTGTAGCAATATAATCCCAATTCCCCAGTAACCGGACGATACACAGTTCTGGGAGTCAACTGATTTTTATTCTGCCACAGCTGGCTTTTATGCAACTCCTCATGCAAGGAGTTTCTTAATTTACATTCCAGGGGTTTCCCACTGGTGGACCTGGTTGGAGATAGGGAACAAAGTAACATTTCCCAGACTCCTCCTCTGTACCTGGGAGATAATTGAGTAAGAATTATCTCCCAGGTACAGAAAATATACAATATTTCAAACCCTCATAACACACATTAATATTAGTCAGAACTTCACGAAAGATAGCAGGGATCTGAGTGCACACTCTGTTGAAATATCACTCAGTTCTGTTTGGTAGATTAGGAACGCCATTCGAGTAAAGTTTAGACCGGTCAACCACGAGGTTAAACCCCAAAATAGTTCCAGATGGTTTTAGACTTTGACCGGTCTTCTTTCGGGAGTATTCACCATTAAAATAACGAAGGGAACTGTTCGTGCAATAGGAGGTCGTGTGCCCTGTGTTCGGTAGTTGATTTCATACAAATGCCGCTCTTTATCGGTGAAGGGTAATGAACACAGAAAGGGATGGAAGTTCAGCGATGTTTGCGCTGTTGAGTGTCTAATTATAGTTCCATGCACTCGACAACCAAACACCGCTGTCTGTTCGTGAACAAAGATGGCCGCCGCCACAAGTTCTATCATACAAACGATGGTCACCCATCCGACCACTTGCGGTAATTGGAGGCACAAGACACCCCTGGGTGGGCTCACTGTTCGATAGTTGGTTCGACTGATGAACAATATATCTTTAGTCTGTTCGGGCACCCCAAATTGTCGAACCAACTCAGTCTTTAATACGAATAGGTGGCTGGTTCTGCCACAGCAATGTTATGCTCTGGGCAATGTTCTGCTGATTAATCTCGGGTCCTGACATTCATGTGGATGTTACTTTGACACGTACCACCTATCTAGAGATTGTTGCAGACCCTGTACACCTCTTCATGGCAGTGGTGTCTTTTAATGGCAGGGGCTTCTTTTAGCAGGATAATGAACCCTGTCACACTGCAAAAATTGTTCAGAAGTGAGGAGCATGACAAAGAGCTAAACATGTTGCCTTGTCTACCAAATTCCCCAGATCGCAATCTGATTGCGATTCTGTGGGATGTGCTGGAACAACAAATCTAATACATGGAGGCCAATTTGCAGGATTTAAAGGATCTGCTGCTAATGTCTTGATGCCAGATACCACAGGATATGGTCTGAGATTTTGTGGACTTCATGCCTCAACACATCAGAGCTGTTTTGACAGCATGAAGGGGCCCTACACAATATTAGGCATGTGGTTTTAATGTTGTGGCTGAGCAGTGTACAACAGACAAGAGGTCACTCATTGAGACTGGAAGAAAGGTGTTTTCACTTACAGCCGTGGAACAATAAAGATGTAGAATTCTGTACCTAGCGGCTGTCTTATCATATTCTGTAAATAGTTTTTTTGGGAAAAAAACAAATCATTCAAGTATGTAATTAATATTTATGTGAACAGGTTGTTGAGTTAAGGAGAAATCTGATTGCCATTACGAAGTCTAGAAGGATATTTCCCCCCTTTTGTCACATAATTGTCAATTGCTACAAACTAGGTATTTGTTTGTTTGTTTTTACTTCATTTTGCTTGACAATATAAACAGATGAGTTTAAGGTTGAACTTGATGGACTGAACCTTTTTATAACCTAGATTATTATGTAAATATAGTAATCCAGGCTCACTACTCCCTGCCCAGTGGATCCATCGTTTACCTTTGCTGATCGGCTGGTGATATCCCGACACTGATCCCTGAGGAAGGCAGATTGAGAGAAAGACCCTGAGGAAGAAAGATAATGACAAATATTACTAATTCTCTCCTGCCATCTGGTGGAAGATGAATGGAATATCTGAAATCTCCTGAATACACAGACACACATATAAAACTGGTTTTAAAGAAGAGAAAGCCAGGTTTACATCTCAAATTCCACCAATAGGACAACCCAACAATGTGTGTAAATCTACTTCAACTTATACATTTCATTCCCGGGGCTACTAAAGGCAGACGTACAGTGTATGTATAAACATGACGGTTCTTTACTGGGTATGAAAGTGCATATCAACAGCTGTGGTAGGACTAAACTAATGTACCGCCCCAGCAAGAAGGAAATAACTCCTCCTTAAATGAAGAAGGATAAAGAAGGATGAAGGAAGAGCAGATGGAGAATTAGTTAGATTTAGGAGACGAGGGAGATAGATGTAGGAAGATGTAGTGGAGACAGATGTGAGACAATGCAGATAGATGTAGGAAAACATAGTGGAGATAGATGTAGGAAGATGTAGTGGAGATAGATGTAGGAAGACGTAGTGGAGATATATGTAGGAAGACGTAGTGGAGATAGATATAAGAGACAATGTAGATAGATGTAGGAAGACGTAGTGGAGATAGATGTAGGAAGACGTAGTGGAGGTAGATGTAGGAAGACGTAGTGGAGATAGATGTAGGAAGACGTAGTGGAGGTAGATGTAGGAAGACGTAGTGGAGGTAGATGTAGGAAGACGTAGTGGAGATATATGTAGGAAGACGTAGTGGAGATAGATATAAGAGACAATGTAGATAGATGTAGGAAGACGTAGTGGAGATAGATGTAGGAAGACGTAGTGGAGATAGATGTAGGAAGACGTAGTGGAGGTAGATGTAGGAAGACGTAGTGGAGGTAGATGTAGGAAGACGTAGTGGAGATAGATGTAGGAAGACGTAGTGGAGGTAGATGTAGGAAGACGTAGTGGAGATAGATGTAGGAAGACGTAGTGGAGGTAGATGTAGGAAGACGTAGTGGAGGTAGATGTAGGAAGACGTAGTGGAGATAGATGTAGGAAGACGTAGTGGAGGTAGATGTAGGAAGACGTAGTGGAGATAGATGTAGGAAGACATAGTGGAGGTAGATGTAGGAAGACGTAGTGGAGGTAGAGGTAGGAAGACGTAGTGGAGGTAGAGGTAGGAAGACATAGTGGAGATAGATGTTGGAAGACGTATGGAGATAGAAATAGGAGACAATGTAGATGTAGGAAGAGGGAAGTGAAGCTGCAGATATTGTTGGCGGCTTCCCCATAATTTTGTACCATACACGGATTTTACTCTAACTAATAGATTTTTCGGTAGTTTAATAAAATTGATTGGTTATATTATCTCTCACTGATCATGTTATATATTGGTTATATTGCCTCCGATTGGTCATGTTATATATTGGTAATATTGCCTCCTACTGGTCATGTTATATTTTGGTTATATTACCTTTCATTGGTCATGTTATATATTGGTTATATTGTCTCCCATTGGTCATGTTATATATTGGTTATATCACCTCCCATTGGTCATGTTATATATTGGTTATATTACCTCCCATTGGTCATGTTATATATTGATTATATTCCCTCCCATTGGTCATGTTATATATTGGTTATATAACCTCCCATTGGTCATGTTATATATTGGTTATATTACCTCCCACTGGTCATGTTATATATTGATTATATTCCCTCCCATTGGTCATGTTATATATTGGTTATATAACCTCCCATTGGTCATGTTATATATTGGTTATATTACCTCCCACTGGTCATGTTATATATTGATTATATTCCCTCCCATTGGTCATGTTATATATTGGTTATATAACCTCCCATTGGTCATGTTATATATTGGTTATATTACCTCCCACTGGTCATGTTATATATTGATTATATTCCCTCCCATTGGTCATGTTATATATTGGTTATATTACCTACCATTGATCATATTATATATTGGTTATATTACCTACTATTGATCATGTTATATATTGGTTATATTACCTCCCACTAGTCATATTTATATATTGGTTATATTGCCTCCACTGGTCATGTTATATATTGATTATATTACCTACCATTGATCATGTTATATATTGATTATATTACCTCCCATTGATCATATTTATATATTGGTTATATTACCTCCCATTGGTCATGTTATATATTGGTTATATTACCTACCATTGATCATGTTATATATGTGGTTATATTACCTCCCACTGGTCATGTTATATGTGGTTATATTACCTCCCACTGGTCATGTTATATATTGGTTATATTACCTCCACTGGTCATGTTATATCTTGATTATATTCCCTCCCACTGGTCATGTTATATATTGGTTATATTACCTCCCACTGGTCATGTTATATATTGGTTATATTACCTCCCACTGGTCATGTTATATATTGGTTATATTACCTCCCACTGGTCATGTTATACATTGGTTATATTACCTCCCACTGGTCATGTTATATATTGGTTATATTACCTCCCACTGGTCATGTTATATATTGGTTATATTGCCTCCCACTGGTCATGTTATATATTGGTTATATTGCCTCCCATTGGTCATGTTATATATTGGTTATATTGCCTCCCACTGGTCATGTTATATCTTGATTATATTCCCTCCCACTGGTCATGTTATATATTGGTTATATTACCTCCCACTGGTCATGTTATATATTGGTTATATTGCCTCCCATTGGTCATGTTATATATTGGTTATATTGCCTCCCACTGATCATGTTATATATTGGTTATATTGTCTCCCACTGGTCATGTTATATATTGGTTATATTACCTCCCACTGGTCATGTTATATATTGGTTATATTACCTTCTATTGGTTATGTTATATATTGGTTATATTGCCTCCTACTGGTTATGTTATATATTGGTTATATTGCCTCCCACTGGTCATGTTATATATTGGTTATATTGCCTCCCACCGGTAATGTTATATATTGGTTATATTGCCTCCCACTGGTCATGTTATATATTGGTTATATTACCTACCTTTGATCATGTTATATATTGATTATATTACCTCCCACTGGTCATGTTATATATTGGTTATATTACCTCCCATTGGTCATGTTATATATTGATTATATTACCTCCCATTGGTCATGTTATATATTGGTTATATTACCTTCTATTGGTTATGTTATATATTGATTATATTACCTCCCATTGGTCATGTTATATATTGGTTATATTACCTTCCATTGGTCATGTTATATATTGGTTATATTACCTTCTATTGGTTATGTTATATATTGATTATATTACCTCCCATTGGTCATGTTATATATTGATTATATTACCTCCCATTGGTCATGTTATATATTGGTTATATTACCTACCATTGGTCATGTTATATATTGGTTATATCACCTCCCATTGATCATGTTATATATTGGTTATATTGCCTCCTACTGGTTATGTTATATATTGGTTATATTGTCTCCCACCGGTAATGTTATATATTGGTTATATTGGTTATATTACCTCCCATTGGTCATGTTATATATTGGTTATATTACCTACCATTGATCATGTTATATATTGGTTATACTACCTCCCATTGGTCATGTTATATATTGGTTATATTACCTACCATTGGTCATGTTATATATTGGTTATATCACCTCCCATTGATCATGTTATATATTGGTTATATTGCCTCCTACTGGTCATGTTATATATTGGTTATATTGCCTCCCACTGGTCATGTTATATATTGGTTATATTACCTCCCACTGGTCATGTTATATATTGGTTATATTACCTCCCATTGGTCATGTTATATATTGGTTATATTACCTCCCATTGGTCATGTTATATATTGATTATATTACCTCCCACTGGTCATGTTATATATTGGTTATATTACCTCCCATTGGTCATGTTATATATTGGTTATATTACCTACCATTGATCATGTTATATATTGGTTATACTACCTCCCACTGGTCATGTTATATATTGGTTATATTACCTACCATTGATCATGTTATATATTGGTTATATTACCTCCCACTGGTCATGTTATATATTGATTATATTACCTCCCACTGGTCATGTTATATATTGGTTATATTACCTCCCACTGGTCATGTTATATATTGGTTATATTACCTCCCATTGGTCATTTTATACAGGGAGTGCAGAATTATTAGGCAAATTAGTATTTTGACCACATTATCCTCTTTATGCTTGTTGTCTTACTCCAAGCTGTATAGGCTCGAAAGCCTACTACCAATTAAGCATATTAGGTGATGTGCATCTCTGTAATGAGAAGGGGTGTGGTCTAATGACATCAACACCCTATATCAGGTGTGCATAATTATTAGGCAACTTCCTTTCCTTTGGCAAAATGGGTCAAAAGAAGGACTTGACAGGCTCAGAAAAGTCAAAAATAGTGAGATATCTTGCAGAGGGATGCAGCACTCTTAAAATTGCAAAGCTTCTGAAGCGTGATCATCGAACAATCAAGCGTTTCATTCAAAATAGTCAACAGGGTCGCAAGAAGCGTGTGGAAAAACCAAGGCGCAAAATAACTGCCCATGAACTGAGAAAAGTCAAGCGTGCAGCTGCCACGATGCCACTTGCCACCAGTTTGGCCATATTTCAGAGCTGCAACATCACTGGAGTGCCCAAAAGCACAAGGTGTGCAATACTCAGAGACATGGCCAAGGTAAGAAAGGCTGAAAGACGACCACCACTGAACAAGACACACAAGCTGAAACGCCAAGACTGGGCCAAGAAATATCTCAAGACTGATTTTTCTAAGGTTTTATGGACTGATGAAATGAGAGTGAGTCTTGATGGGCCAGATGGATGGGCCCGTGGCTGGATTGGTAAAGGGCAGAGAGCTCCAGTCCGACTCAGACGCCATCAAGGTGGAGGTGGAGTACTGGTTTGGGCTGGTATCATCAAAGATGAGCTTGTGGGGCCTTTTTCGGGTTGAGGATGGAGTCAAGCTCAACTCCCAGTCCTACTGCCAGTTCCTGGAAGACACCTTCTTCAAGCAGTGGTACAGGAAGAAGTCTGCATCCTTCAAGAAAAAACATGATTTTCATGCAGGACAATGCTCCATCACACGCGTCCAAGTACTCCACAGCGTGGCTGGCAAGAAAGGGTATAAAAGAAGAAAATCTAATGACATGGCCTCCTTGTTCACCTGATCTAAACCCCATTGAGAACCTGTGGTCCATCATCAAATGTGAGATTTACAAGGAGGGAAAACAGTACACCTCTGAACAGTGTCTGGGAGGCTGTGGTTGCTGCTGCACGCAATGTTGATGGTGAACAGATCAAAACACTGACAGAATCCATGGATGGCAGGCTTTTGAGTGTCCTTGCAAAGAAAGGTGGCTATATTGGTCACTGATTTGCTTTTGTTTTGTTTTTGAATGTCAGAAATGTATATTTGTGAATGTTGAGATGTTATATTGCTTTCACTGGTAATAATAAATAATTGAAATGGGTATATATTTGTTTTTTTGTTAAGTTGCCTAATAATTATGCACAGTAATAGTCACCTGCACACACAGATATCCCCCTAACATAGCTAAAACTAAAAACAAACTAAAACTACTTCCAAAAATATTCAGCTTTGATATTAATGAGTTTTTTGGGTTCATTGAGAACATGGTTGTTGTTCAATAATAAAATTAATCCTCAAAAATACAACTTGCCTAATAATTCTGCACCCCCTGTATATTGGTTATATTACCTCCCACTGGTCATGTTATATATTGATTATATTACCTCTCACTGGCCATGTTATATATTGGTTATATTACCTCCCATTGATCATGTTATATATTGGTTATATTACCTCCCATTGATCATGTTATATATTGGTTATATTACCTCCCACTGGTCATGTTATATATTGATTATATTACCTCCCACTGGTCATGTTATATATTGGTTATATTACCTCCCATTGGTCATGTTATATATTGGTTATATTACCTCCCATTGGTCATGTTATATATTGGTTATATTACCTCCCATTGGTCATGTTATATATTGGTTATATTGCCTACCATTGGTCATGTTATATATTGGTTATATTACCTCCCATTGGTCATGTTATATATTGGTTATATTACCTCCCATTGGTCATGTTATATATTGGTTATATTACCTACCATTGGTCATGTTATATATTGGTTATATTACCTCCCATTGGTCATGTTATATATTGGTTATATTGCCTACCATTGGTCATGTTATATATTGGTTATATTACCTACCATTGGTCATGTTATATATTGGTTATATTACCTCCCACTGGTCATGTTATATATTGATTATATTACCTCCCATTGGTCATGTTATATATTGGTTATATTACCTACCATTGGTCATGTTATATATTGGTTATATTGCCTCCCATTGGTCATGTTATATATTGGTTATATTACCTCCCACTGGTCATGTTATATATTGGTTATATTGCCTCCCACTGGTCATGTTATATATTGGTTATATTACCTCCCACTGGTCATGTTATATATTGGTTATATTGCCTCCTACTGGTCATGTTATATATTGGTTATATTACCTACCATTGATCATGTTATATATTGGTTATATCGCCTCCCACTGGTCATTTTATATATTGGTTATATCGCCTCCCACTGGTCATGTTATATATTGGTTGTATTACCTCCCACTGGTCATGGTATATATTGGTTATACTACCTCCCACTGGTCATGTTATATATTGGTTATATTACCTCCCACTGGTCATGGTATATATTGGTTATATTACCTCCCACTGGTCATGTTATATATTGGTTATATTGCCTCCCACTGGTCATGTTATATATTGATTATATTCCCTCCCATTGGTCATGTTATATATTGGTTATATAACCTCCCATTGGTCATGTTATATATTGGTTATATTACCTCCCACTGGTCATGTTATATATTGATTATATTACCTCCCATTGGTCATGTTATATATTGGTTATATTACCTCCCACTGGTCATGTTATATATTGGTTATATTACCTCCCATTGGTCATGTTATATATTGGTTATATTACCTCCCACTGGTCATGTTATATATTGGTTATATTACCTCCCACTGGTCATGTTATATATTGGTTGTATTACCTCCCACTGGTCATAGCATATATTGGTTGTATTACCTCCCACTGGTCATAGCATATATTGGTTGTATTACCTCCCACTGGTCATGTTATATATTGATATTACCTCTCACTGATCATGTGATGTGATTTGAAGTTGGTAACGGATTCTATTATTTTTTTATTTCTCTCTCTTTGTTTTTAACTTTTTGACCTGCAATATGTGTTGGTTGTGGAGCCATAAAAAACGATTTAATTATCTTCCTCAGGTGGAAAAAACTTTATTCAGCTACCCACCGCTGTATGAAACAGAATAGAAATGTACTGTCCAGTGCCCTGTTGAAGAATTAGAAATTAACTTTTAATATATTGGCTAAAAAGGCTAGAATAATATCGAGTAACACAAAATCAATCCAAAGAAGGAAGGGGAAGGGGTAAAGGGAGAGAAATACATTTACAAGAAAAAGTATGTGAACCCTTTGGAATGATATGGATTTCTGCACAAATTGGTCATAAAATGGGATCTGATCATCATCTAAGTCACAACAATAGACAATCACAGTCTGCTTAAACTAATAACACACAAATAATGAAATGTTGCCATGTTTTTATTGAACACACCATGTAAACATTCACAGTGCAGGTGGAAAAGGTATGTGAACCCTTGGATTTAATAACTGGTTGAACCTCCTTTGGCAGCAATAACTTCAACCAAACGTTTCCTGTAGTTGCAGATCAGATGTGCACAACAGTCAGGAGTAATTCTTGACCATTACTCTTTACAGAACTGTTTCAGTTCAGCAATATTCTTGGGATGTCAGGTGTGAATCGCTTTCTTGAGGTCATGCCACAGCATCTCAATCGGGTTGAGGTCAGGACTCTGACTGGGCCACTTTAGAAGGCATATATTCTTCTGTTTAAGCCATTCTGTTGTTAATTTACTTCTATGCTTTGGGTCATTGTTCTGTTGCAACACCCATCTTCTGTTGAGCTTCAGCTGGTAGACAGATGGCCTTAAGTTCTCCTGCAAATTGTCTTGATAAACTTGGGTATTCATTTTTCCTTCGATGATAGCAATCAGTCCAGGCCCTGACCCAGCAAAGCGGCCCCAAATCATGATGCCCCCACCACCATACTTAACAGTTGGGATGAAGTTTTGATGTTGGTGTGCTGCGCCTTTTTTTGCCACACATAGTGTTGTGTGTTTCTTCCAAACAACTCAACTTTGGTTTCATCTGTCCACAGAATATTTTGCCAGTACTGCTGTGGAACATCCAGGTGCTCTTGTACAAACTGTAAACGTGCAGCAATGTTTTGTTTGGACAGCAGTGGCTTCCAATGTGGTATCCTCCCATGAAATCCATTCTTGTTTAGTGTTTTACGTATTGTAGATTCGCTAACAGGGATGTTAGCCTTTGCCAGTGACTTTTGTAAGTCTTTAGCTGACACTCTAGGATTCTTCTTCACCTCATTGAGCAGTCTGCGCTGTGCTCTTGCAGTCATCTTTACAGGATGGCCACTCCTAGGGAGAGTAGCAGCAGTGCTGAACTTTCTCCATTTATAGACAATTTGTCTTACCGTGAACTGATGAACAGTATAAATAGGGCAATGTAAATTTTGGTTCGAAAAATGCAGATTCAGTTTATTTAAACTAACAGCATTTAGGGATTCTGCTTACAAGCTACACAGAGACCTTAAATAATTATGATGGTGTATTATAACTGCAGTCTTTTCGAAATCAGGTTTATTCACCGGTTATTCGAAAGGCCAAAACCGAACGGAGCACAAACAGAACATTTGGACATTGTTCCGAATGTGCCTGAATTATGATGTTGTTTTAATATTTTTGAATGAGCTTTTCAAATGATAAAACCCTCAAAAGGGGCAAATCAATATCCATTATATGCGACAACTCTCGAACAAAGAGAAAAAATAAACGAATTCGCAAAAACTTGATAAAAATAAAAACCCCAATTTGCCTGCACACTACCCGAAATACCTATCTAAATTTAAACAGCAGAAAGTCAAACCTCATCCTACAGGAACACTTGGCCTTACTGCTTCCAGACAAAGGGCAAAATCTTGGTATTACATATCTATCAGCCCTTACTAGGGCACACATGGGTAGTGCGGCAGCACCAGTTCACATTTTGCTAAGCTTTTTAATGGTGATTTATGAGGAATTTGTAGGAGAGTCAGTACCGGTTTTTAAAGTGAGATTATTCGTTGCAGTTGGAATTCTTTTTTCAGCATTGTGGCATTCAGGGAAGTGGACTCAACAACAGCCCTACTTCTGTTCTACTTCCTTTTTTTAATTTACGTTTTGTTCTAAATGTATTACTTTGTGGCCTGATTCTGTATATTTATTATACTATAATGTTTTTCAGCTGAGCGCCACTTGCTGGAGATCTGAAGATTTCATCTCAGATTCTTTTTTAAATTGATTGAGATTTTGGCAACATTTCTGGAATTGAATACATTTTGTTTATAAAGCATTTCTGCTCATATTCAGCTTAGTGAAACAGCTGTGATCAGTATATAGCTAGGTAAGGGTTACTGCAGTACCCAGAGAGTCTAAATGTTGATTTGAACATGGTATGATTTCTATAATATATCTGCTATTTTATATATTTTTATATAATATTTATTAGTATTTTTATAAATGTAATTTTTTTTAAAAATATTTTTTCAATTTTATAACTTTTTAACCTTGTTATTATGGATTACTTCTCATAAAATATTTTTGATTCACTTTATATACCTTTCCAGTTATTATCCTACATAATATCACTCTATATAATGTCACCATTATTCTTATGAATTACATACAATTCTCATATTAATTGTCATCTTTTTCTACTAGGAATTTATGATTGCCCATTTTTTTCTTTTTGATATCTCGTGGATATTTTATGTTTGTTTTTTATTTTAATGTTCGTCTGTATTCATCTGTGGTAACGGACTTATGATAGTGGAACACAGGATGCGCTGCCAGATATAGCCCCAAAGGGAGACATAGAACGCAAACGAAGATATCCACGACCACAGGTGATTATAATTGTATTAACACAATTCGATTAGACGCAGAAACGGCAGGAACTACAAACCACACGTTTAAACGCAGACCAAGGAGATCAAGCTTCTACTTTCACTTTCCCCTGAGGAAGTCCTGTTCAGGACGAAACGCGTAGGACGGAGAGGACAAGCAGGCACCTTCAATTTGATTTTATATACTGTACTTTGTTGATTTTTTTTTTAATTTAATTTTTTCGGCTATTTGCTAAGCACATCCTCTGAACAGAAGGAACTACTACATTGGGACAACTGAGTGCTTGAAAGGCTGAATTGTAAAGTCAATCTTGTGAGAGCAATCTGAAATAAAGTACATTCAAATGTTTTTATTGGTGCACTGTGTTTGTATCGCTCTATATTTTTATGAAAGTTGAAAAGGACGTCATTTGAGCTCCTCCATACTCTACCAATTTATGTACGCCTACTACTTACAACTATCTTGTAAGTGCATTATTGTTCCATTAATGGTGTTTTAAACATACCACACCATTTTTGGTTTTCTGCGTTCTTCCATATTTTGAGATTGTATTGCTTGTATTTTATGAAGAAGATTTGAGGGATCTTCTTACAATCTATCATATTGTCTGAATGGGTCATTTTATTTTATATACCTTTACCCACTGGGGAGCACGTGTGTTATATTATACTTGTTGTATTATTTGTATTTATTAGAAAATCTGTAAATTGGGACAGAATTATACAGAGCTTCGTAGGTGGACACAAACTTTAGATTGAGTTTGATTAATACAGGATGGCTTAACCTTATCATTAGTTTGGAGAATGGATGGATTTTATACTTCAAACTGTGCCAATCGTGTATGTGTTCTGCCAAGCTTTGTCAGATACAGCCAGTGCTCCACCTATAACATATCCTGTTTGTGCTCGCCTTTAGTGTGTGACACAGGGCCAGATTAAGAGCCCAGTGGGCCTGGTGCTGACAATTATGACGGGCCTAATTACAGAATCATATCGACCAAAAACAGTAAAACACTCCCAAGCGTCATGTATATGATGAAGATGGTGCTGGAGAGATAGAAAACAGCAGCTATAAGAAAACACATACCCTAGGCTAATCTCTCTCTAATTTATGTTTTCATCTTTTAAGTAAATCCATAACCCCTAACAGCAGTGTCCAGTAAAGCAGGAAGGTAAAAGGGTGTGCCATTGGCATAAATCACATAACCTGCCAAAAGGGGCGAACATGCCCAAAAAGAGGACATGTCTGCCCAAAGAATTAGAAGGCCAGCCTGGCATGAATGCATGTCAGGCTGCCTGCCAATCATGCAGCTGGCCAACTAAGGGCATACTATGCAGACAGCACCCTGAGCTTGGCATAAATGCATCTAATGATGCACTCACTCAACGCTTTCTAAGGACTGTCCCCTAGCACTTGCTGGTCCACTTGTCTCCTTACCTTCTTACTAGCAGGCAGAAGCTCCTGGTAGATAGTCGGGAACAGAGAAAAGCTGTATGTAGTGTAGAAGAAAGGGAACATGCCACAGTGTTAGAGAGACCAAAGTCATCATTATCTTAAAGGATCACTATAGGGTCAGGAACACAAACATGAATTCATGACCCTATAGTGTTAACACCACCATCTAGCCCCCCTGGCCCCCTCATGCCTCCATAAATATAGCAAAATCTTACTATATTCAAACCTGAAGCTGTAACTCTGCATGCTGTTAGACTCATAAAAACAAGGAGTCTGCTGACATCATCAGAAGTGGTGGCCTGATCCAATCACAGTGCTTCCCCATAGGATTGGCTGACACTGACAAAGAGGCAGATCAGGGTCAGAGCCAGCATGATTCAAACACAGCCCTGGCCAATCAGCATCTCCTTATAGAGATGAATTCAATTAATGAATCTCTATGAGGAAAGTTCAGTGTCTGCATGCAGAGGGAGGAAACACTGAATGCTTGGATGCATTTTAGGCAGCCATGACCCAGGAAGGATCTGTAACAGCCATCTGAGGAGTGGCCAGTGAAGTTATCACTAGGCTGTAATGTAAAGACTGCATTTTCTCTGAAAAGACAGTGTTTACAGCAAAAAGCCTGACGGTAATGATTCTACTCACCAGAACAAATTGAATAAGCTGTAGTTGTTTTGGTGACTATAGTGTCCCTTTAACTATATTCATTGTCAGACAGTCCACACAAGTTTTGTTCCCATACATCCGTCTTAAGTTTCCACTTAAGAGTATGTGAAATGTAGTTAGGGTTGTCCACCTTTCTTGGAAAAACATACCGGCCTTACTAATTTGCATAATTAAATATGCATGGGTGACATCACATGATGTAAATCACAAGGAGTGACATAAGAGTAAATGCTGTAAAATCACCAAAAAACTACGTAGTTTGATTCTGCTGTATAGATGGATTCCTCCCAGTGCCCCCATGTCTCCCAGTGCCCTCATGACTCAGTGACCCCATGTGTCGATTACTCCAGGTCTCAGTGTTCCTATGTATCAGTGTATCAGTGTCTCAGTGCCCCATGTCTCCCAGTGTTATGTCCCCAGGTATCACAGTGTCTCAATGCCCCATGTCTCCCTGTGTCCTCATGTATCCCAGGGTCCCCATGTCACTAGGACACTAGGAAGACGGGGAGACCTGGGGAGACCTAGGGACATGGAGACACCAGTGACACTGGGAGACTAGGGGACTCTGGCTGGGACACATGGGGACAATGGGAAAATAGGGGACACTTGAAGACATGGGGACACAGACACCTGGGACACAGACACTAGAGACACTGGCTGGGGGACATGGGGACATTGAGACATGGGGGGACTGGGAGACACGGGGACACAGACACCAGGGCCACTAGCTTGGAAACATGGGGACATTGTGACACTTGAGGCACTGAGAGACATGGAGGCACTAGGAGACATGGGGACAGTGAGACACTGGCAGACTGGGGGAACTGGGAGACTAGGGGGCACTGAGACACCAGGGACAATGGCTGTCATAATGTCTCCCAATGTCCCTTAGTGTGTCAGTATATGTCTCCTTGCAGCCTTCCCCCCATCCCTTACTTCCCTGAGCTGTAGGCTGTCTCTGCAGGGTGGGAGTTGCTGTCTGGACTCTCTGTAGCTGCACCCCTGCAGATCAGTGATTATAGATAGGCAGGGAGGGATATGCTGGAACTTCCTATCCCTGCCTGTCTCCACACACAGCGACCCCTACTGGCCAGTGCTGGTATTGCAGAGTAATCTCTTGTTTATACTGAGAAAAATACCAGCATTTGTATTGCCAGTATCAGTGCAATATTGGCACCAGCCAGGCAGCCTCAAATACTGGCTGTGCCAATAAAATAAAAGCCAGGTGGAATCCCTAAGAGTTGTGTGTGAAAAAAAAAATGTAAAAAAAAAAAAAAAACTCCATCTCCAGCAGTTTCATTAGCCAGCCCAGAACAATTGTGTAATGTCAATTTCCCCTTAGAAAGACAATGGAAAGCAAGTTATGGAGCAGAATGAGAAGACAGGGTGCTTGGAAGAGGGAGAGAAAAGATGGGAAGTGAAAATAAGAAACATAGAACAGCGGGTGCAGAGGGGAATTAGTGGAGATAGAAGGAAGAGAGACTGACACAATAACAGAAGATACAGGTGGAGCTGGTGAAGTTAGAGAGGAATAGGCTGGGGCAAGGAAGATGGTCGATAGTCTGAGTAGCATGAAATGAAATCTTCCAACACAGCCATTCTGGTAGAAAGTCTTGTTCTTGATTTAGCCATTTTTAGCCAAAATCTTGTGGTTTGGTTTTCACGATTTAGTGAGTTTATTGAATAAAAGTGTGCATGAGAGAGAAGTCTGGCAATAATCACATTTTTGCCATTTTTCATTCAGCTCCCGAGTTAAGAGCCTAACACCCAATGATAACCTGGGTCACTTTTTACCAAACTCAATTCACCATTTATCTTCCTCTCCCTAATTCATTATCCAAGTTTCATTTCCCAGGTCACAATCCATGGTTCCTTTAATTCACCCTGAAGCACCATCCTGTGTACTCACCTTGCAAGGGACGGCGGTGATCTGGTAATGCAATGCGGATACATGTCTTGGAATGACTGCTGTGAGGACTGGTGATTAAATGTGTATAACAGGATGTCATGACATCAGACAATAGATAATTTGAAGTGGGGCTTGGCAGTGAGGGTGCTCAGCAGTAACTTAAAACCTGGGATCTGTATTTAATGGAACCTTCTAAAAGAGTACACGCTAGATGTTGTGGACTACATCTCTTATAATGCTTTGCCAGCACTATGGCTATAAACGCATTATGGGAGACGTAGTTCATAACATCTGGAGTGCTGAAGGTTGCCCCGCTCTGTTCTAGGAGATAATACATAAGGAGGCTGCCCCAATGGCACTGATTGACTAAATGTAATAAGAGTGGTACAGTCTGCCTGACTAAGTGCAGCCCCTCTATGGGTAAATCAGAGGCACTCATATGTTCATAGACATGCATTGAGCATGGATGCAGACATTCCAAGTCCACACTCATTTTATTATTCTTCTCCATCACTGCAATGATACATTTTTAACACAGACTATGAAATACTGAATTCTACTTTGGCTTTTCGACCGTTAATTAGACCTTGGGAATCTCCCTTTCAAGTGGAATTCTTCTCGTACTCATAACATTTTTGTTGTTACATATGGATGTGTTTCTATACCTTTTAACTCCCATTTGGCATTTCTAAATTAATATTTAACGTTAAAACGGTCCAACTTGGTGCCTACGGCAAACAGCATGTGAATAGGTCATTGTCTCCTAGATCCAGACAGAAGTATCCATGTTTTCAGCCCAGTAATAGCATATGAGGGAATGGTCACTATAGATACAAATTACTCATATCTGATAGAATACGATGTAGTATTCCTTCACACACAACAGACAGACAACATTAATCTTGGTATGATATCAGTTTACTTTTTGTTTTGCATTGAGAGAGGCATGATTCTGCAACATGTTTAACAAACATCTCCTTATGTACAATTCTTTAGTGTTCGAGCCATGGAGTGCTGTCCGACACTGGAGTACCAGACAGTTACTGCTTGCCAAGACTGGTGGAATTAAGGATACAAATTGCAATGGTAATAAGAAATTTACACCCACACCCACCCAAAAACCAAGCACAAAAGCAATAACTGTATCTGGGATGGAACCCAGCACATTTTGGAAGCTCCAATTTGTAACATGGCATTTAAAATGGAAACTATAAAGTCTGCACGAGATATCAGGAAACGCATTATTTACACTGAACTGTCACGGCCACTCTTAATACATCGAAAATTGGGGGTTTTGTCGAGAAACCGTGACAGCAGTATGTGGACTCGGCAGAGAGAGCACACCATTCATTTATTTTATGAACAGACTACTGTGAGCAGTAACCCTTTTGCTGCCAGACAAGGCAGTGTTACCGGTTTGGAAGCAAAGGGGTCAAAAATTAAATATCAGCTATGTGTTCATTTTAATACAAATTCTGCTGACAATTGTCACTCTTGTTGGCCACGAGGTGAAGTACAGCAGGGTTTATGTAATAAAGTCACACCAGGAAAGTCTGAATAAATGGCAAGAATTCAGCAGTGGCAGAGAACGCAGATGAGGGTGGAGTGTCTGGGTGATGATGAAGATGGTCTGAACGACGAAGGCATGTAGTTCCATTAATAGTCGCACCCTTGGTTGAGGGCTAACGGGACACGTAGGGTGGTGGGTATGCTTAAAGTACAAAATGCAGAAAGGGAACTAGATGCATTACCATCTCAGACATAGTTAATGGGGAGTGCAGAGAATCAGAGTGGGACGACTATGAGGGGGGGGGGGGGGGGGGAGGGATGACAGACCGACAGACAGATGAGGCCTTTCCAGGAGAAACCATCAACAATGGATACTAAGCCACAATTAAGGGCCCAGGACCAGAGGCATGGAGAGGGAAGTAAGATTTCCAATAATGCTGTCACAGTCACACCAACTGCAAATGGAAAGACAGGGAGAGGACAGCAACTGGTCCATTATTTCCTGAACAGTGAATTGGGGTGACCCCCTCCAACAGGACAGATGGTCCATCTTGATGCTCTATAAAAATGAAAATGAAAGGAATGAGAGTGATGAAGGGTTCACAATGCAACATGAAATAATGAACAATATTACAGGAAGATAACAGAGGGTGAATGCCTGCAACGAGGGGATTCCTCTTCTAATAACCAACTAGGAGCATTAAATGAACGCACCAAGCTATGTTTCAATGAGAGGATTCCTCTTCTAATAACCCACCAGGAGCATTATATGAACGCACCGAGCTATGTTTCAATGAGGGGATTCCTCTTCTAATAACCCACCAGGAGCATTATATGACCGCACCGAGCTATGTTTCAATGAGGGGATTCCTCTTCTAATAACCCACCAGGAGCATTATATGAACGCACCGAGCTATGTTTCAATGAGGGGATTCCTCTTCTAATAACCCACCAGGAGCATTATATGACCGCACCGAGCTATGTTTCAATGAGGGGATTCCTCTTCTAATAACCCACCAGGAGCATTATATGAACGCACCGAGCTATGTTTCAATGAGGGGATTCCTCTTCTAATAACCCACCAGGAGCATTATATGAACGCACCGAGCTATGTTTCAATGAGGGGATTCCTCTTCTAATAACCCACCAGGAGCATTATATGTACGCACCAAGCTATGTTTCATTGAGGGGATTCCTCTTCTAATAATCAACTAGGAGCATTATATGAACGCACCAAGCTATGTTTCAATGAGGGGATTTCTCTTCTAATAACCAACTAGGAGCAATATAAGAACGCACCGAGCTATGTTTCAATGAGGGGATTCCTCTTCTAATAACCCACTAGGAGCATTATATGTACGCACCAAGCTATGTTTCAATGAGGGGATTCCTCTTCTAATAATCAACTAGGAGCATTATATGAACGCACCAAGCTATGTTTCAGTGAGGGGATTTCTCTTCTAATAACCAACTAGGAGCAATATAAGAACGCACCGAGCTATGTTTCAATGAGGGGATTCCTCTTCTAATAACCCACCAGGAGCATTATATGAACACACCACGCTATGTTTCAATGAGGGGATTCCTCTTTTAATAACCCACCAGGAGCATTATATGTACGCACCAAGCTTTGTTTCAATGAGGGGATTCCTCTTCTAATAACCTACCAGGAGCATTATATGTACGCACCAAGCTATGTTTCAGTGAGGGGATTTCTCTTCTAATAACCTACCAGGAGCATTATATGAACGCACCGAGCTATGTTTCAATGAGGGGATTCCTCTTTTAATAACCCACCAGGAGCATTATATGAACGCACCGAGCTATGTTTCAATGAGGGGATTCCTCTTTTAATAACCCACCAGGAGCATTATATGTACGCACCAAGCTTTGTTTCAATGAGGGGATTCCTCTTCTAATAACCTACCAGGAGCATTATATGAACGCACCGAGCTATGTTTCAATGAGGGGATTCCTTTAATTTTATTGTCCCTTGTTATAAAAGACTAAGGTTAAGAAGCTGATGGTAGATGTTTTAAAGGAGGTGGCAGCAGACACTAGGAGTAAATTCTGGCATTTCTGCTACAAAAGGACATTGAATTAGAGATTCAGGGCTGTCTGTAGGGCACTTATGTTTTCTGTTATATATACCTGGATTTGTGGGTGCATAGCTGCTTCTGGGGAACTAATTGTTTCAGGTTTGTGTCTTCTCCAAGGGGCAGTAACCTCAGGACAGGTGGCACATTCACCAATAAAGATAGATCCAGTTGGAGAGAGGCCCTGATGGGAGACAGAAATATTAGTAAATACAGATATCAGTCCATGACATTAAAAACAAATTAATCTTAAATCCCATAACGAATAATGAATTCCATAACATCTTTAAGCCCTAGATTAACCCCAACAACTCTTCGATTTACCAGTATAATATGAAATCAATTATCTCACTTCTCATTAACAAAACAAAGGGGGAAAAAAAATCTGCACTTCAGGCAAATGTCAATGGGTAAATCCTTGACCGATCTCCCTCGATGTTTCCCACGATATTATTATTATTGTAATTTCTAGCAATTTGTTTCCCAATCAAAGGCAGTACCCAGTACAGTGCCCACTATGGTTACCATAAAATAAACTCAAAGAGGTTATAAGCTGCAGGACAGATACAAAATATTGATGCCCTTATTAAAGGGATGAAGGAGTGTGCCCTGCTTGACAGTAATAGTAATCACCTCCCATGCACTTATCTACATCCACTAAAACCTTCTCACTATGGTCTCTGGTCTGAATGCATTTCTCAAACATACATCTTGGGTCTGATATGTTTTCCAAAGCTTGGAGAAATTCAGGATAACCATATAAAATATTATGTTACATCTTTATAATGAGCTGTTCTGTCCTTAAAGAGGAAAAATGATCATGGAAATAAAAGGGATGTTTCTGCTCATTGTTCCACTATTAGTATTTTGCCTCAGATTACTTTTTTATACACCGGTACCTGAACAGCGAAATGATATGCTTCATAACTCTACTGCCCAGTATAAAGATCAACAGGAGAGCAAACACAAAGATCTAGAAAACAGACAATTACTGAAGCACATTGGATACCAAAGTCCTATCTCGTACCATGACATACAAAGCCACGTGGTTAATTGCATAGTGAAAGGAGAATAGCAGATACCAGTGATTAGCAGAAGAGAAGATAGGAAAGGGAACAGCACTTGCTGAAAATGTCTGATGTACACTGGACTTACAGTTGGAAGTCCTTTAAGGGCCTCATGGAGGGGGATTCTGGAAGACGAACATGAAGAACACACAAGAGGGTTGAGGAAGAGGGGAAGCAAATCATATTCTCTATGTACAGTGAGAACCCGGGAAGATGTTGATTCTCTTCATGTAATCTCCGGTGTCGGCATCCCCACTAGGA